TCCACTCCTTAGGCAGCACAGTTTTTGTGCCTATGCTAACGTGTGTACAAACCAAGATGCACATGCACATTTTTCACTTTTATACATACATACACAAACATATGTGTATGTATATATATATATATGTAGTATTATATTATATTTATACATGTACACATGTAATCACATGTACACATATGTTCAATTTTAAGGGTTAATACTTACAAGTTTGTCAGTTCATGCTTATATTGTATAGTGCAAGTTTCACGTGTTTCTATACACATACATGCATAGATTACTTGCTACAGGTCGCAAATTGTCTGCGATTGTCCTGGAATCCATTGCACCCTGCATGCTCTTCCATTCGTAGAAGCCTGCACTCAACCTCCAAACTCCAAACGCCGACCCATATCCTCAACCCCAATCCCTCAACCCTAACTCGAAAGTCCAAGTCCTACAGACTTTCCAGCAGGAAGCTGAGGTCGGGACCCAAGAGGGTGACATGGCTGCACCCCTGGAGTTTCACAGCAGATTCCCAAGACTTTGTGCCAAGATGCCTTCTTCCTGCAATACCTGTATGTTCAGGTCTGGGTGTAGTCATGGTATGTGCGTCGACGTAGGTGAACCATCCCATAAGGCTCCTCCTCACCCGTGCCCCTGGGCAAGTGGTACGGCGAAATTCTCGCAGGCAAGCCACTCGGATGACAACTCAGAGCTGAAGCTTGGTGCACAAGTCACTAGTAAACTTTGAGCCCGAAAGCTTTCAAAGTCCCAAACCTTGGAGGCGAAAAGGGAAATTCACCATCCCTGAGCCGGGGCTGCTGCGGCGTCGGGGACACCGTGCTGGGTGTCAGAGGCCCTGTCGGGAGTCGTGGTCATGGCGTTCAGCATTTGGGAGCTTGCAGCACCTGAATTACATACGATAACAAAACAGATGTGCATGTATAGTTGCACTCCTACTTATACATGCATCCATCCCTCAGTCCAGACATGCACAGACTCATTCATTCATTCATTCGTTCGTTCGTTGATTCATTAGTTCGTTCATTAGTTCGTTGTTTCATTCGTCCGAACATTCATCCATCCGTTTCATGCATTCAGCAGGTCCGGAAACTGAAGCCATGCCCATACTTAAACATCCGAAAACCTCCAAACCCTGAAACGCTCAAAAATCCAAACAAAAACCCCCAATCCCAAAGATCAATAAACTCTGCTGCCAGCCTTGGTTGAACCAGTCACCAGGCAGCTCTGTCTTTATTTCGCCTCATTCGCGCACGCAGCACGAACACGGCATTGTTCGACACATGCATCGACCACGACTGCTCGCAAACATACATACATACGTTCATGCGAAATTGGTATGCAAAAACCTATCTATACAAGCCTGCACAGTTACGTACAGACGTAACTACATACATAAATACAAACATACATACATACATACATACATACATACATACATCCATGCATACATCCATCCATCCATCCATCCATCCATCCATCCATGCATGCATGCATGCATGCATGCTTACATACATACATACATACATACAG